GATTTTCTCTTTTGCTGGAATTTGATCCATTTCGTTTTTTGTCGATATGCATTTAACTGTTATTTAATCCAATATCCTTACGGAGCTAATTTTGTAGTAATTTTTTTTGTCAGCTATCTGTTTGTTTTTTGTATTGCATTCTCTCTATTTTGGAATTTCCTCATTCTTCCTTTTAATACCCAAAAAGAAAAGATTTTCTCTCTCTCTCTCTCTCTCTCTTCTGTTATTCATAAAATCTCAGATGGAACAGGAAGATTGTTCGTAATTTAATTGTTTCCTCTACTATAGCTGSTCATGCATTGAAACCGACATGGGCGATTGATTTTCCATCAACTCAATGATGATTTTCCATAAGATCAGCGAGTGTGATCTTCCCACAATTGCCTGTGTCTAGCCCGTCAAACTGGWTGCAGATTTGCAGGATATCTTTCTCTGCTATTTTCCCCATTTCCTTAAGCTTGTAGATAACGTACTCAAATTTGCCGGATGTACACAAGAAAGAATAGAGTACAGAGTTAGAAGGGATAAGAAACCAAAATGTAAGAAAGAAATGGTCCTTGGTCAAAGCAAAATGGATGCAACAACCAAAGAAAATAGCTTGCTCTCTCTCTCCTGGTCAAGGTCAGAAAGCAATAGTTTTCAAAATACATGCAAGAGAACCCATCTGAATGAAGATCATGTTCTTCCATTCCTGTCTTTATTTTTTCTGTTTTTAATCAGCTGTAGACTAGATGGTAAGTTTCAGAGATTTCATACGGTTTGGATGATACAAGGATTGCACTTGTAGAATCAACAAACCACAAATATTCTTGTAGTTTATATTGGAAGACTATGCCCATTGTATTTACATCTATATTTGGCAGAAACTATCTCAATGGTCTCACTATTGCTCATAATATGCTGTTACATTCAAAATATATATTTTTTTTGAAAAACTGTGACTTAATAAACACCACACATTGGTAAGTTTGCTTTGGAGTTCAGGTATTTCTTTGGAGGTGTACTACTGTAGCTCATTATTTTTATAATGGACACTAGTATGTCAAGCTAGAATATGTGCCATTACTAAATATTGTGAATCTGTCATTTGAAGTGCGGATAGGATACCTTGGATTATTCCTTTTAGTTGAATAGTCATGTTTTAATATTCCCTCTAATGGAACAAGAAATAATGATCTTGAGTGCACATTTTACAATTGTGCTTCATTTCAGTTATTTCATCATAAAATGGTATGCTTATCAACATATTGCAATTTAGTGATGTAGTTAATTTATTTCCTCAAATTGCTTATTAAAATTCTGCAAACATAATTGTTGATTCTCAGCCTCTGAAGCGGAAGAGTGGAACAGAAGATTGTGAAGGCTTCCATGTGTGGACTACCAGTCCTGGATACACTAAAGTGGTTAACAGCCCCCTTCGTACACCAATATCAGGAAAAGGGGGCAGGGTATACAGCAAGTCAAAGGTTCCAAAGCATAGCAAATCAGGGCCTCATGTGCCAAATGCAGGTGAGAAGTGTCTCTACAATGGTTTCTCTTTTGGCATTAATTCTCACCGTGGTTTCTTTTTTGGCATTAAGTTGATTCAGTCCATCCTATGGTACTTTGGATTGCTCAAAGAAAATTGAAATCGAATGATGTTTTAATTTCTCACCTTTCAAAACCTCCTTGTCAAATAAAGCACTAAACTGGATGTGCATGTTTCTAACACTTTTTTCCCACTATATCTTTGGTTGGTATTTGAGATATTGTTGCTGTAGACATTACCGATGAATTATATGATCAAGTTTCTTGCTAGTAGCCTCAAGATACTTAAAGAATTAACTCAAATATAACTAATAAACTAATATTGTCATTAGGTGCTAGCAACAAGTAGGGAAATGGCAAAATGTTGCAACCAGTGATATCATCTGTCATAACTAAATAGCTAATAAACATAGCTGAGTGTTATATAGTTCAATGATGAYTAATTATTTCTTATTTTTATTTTCACCTGTGCATTTGTGAATTTTATTTGGATATGGAACATGATTTACATCTTTCTTTATATGTGCTTGATTTTAATAATGGTTTTGATGCCATAATATTGGTCCAGATGATTAACCCATTGAACAGAGGGTTGGTCTTAGAATGAT